TTAAGATCCCCAATTCCAATTCTCTGAATTTTTCCTTCCAAGCCTCAACCTCATTCTCAGACTTTTTCTTCTCACACTCCAATACTTTGTTCTCAATCATAAGCTGAAAGACCTTATCTTCCTCCCACTTATCCTCTGTCAGATCAACAATTCGCTTTGTCCCCTTCTCTCCCCCAAAAAATTTATTCTTTTCATCTCCGTCACTATTATCCTGCTCCTTAATTCCATCACTGTCTCTCTTCAAAGCCTTAATCACTTCTTCCATAGCAAGCTTTTCGACTTCCAATGCCCTAAACTTGGCCGCAAGAGCTTCATACTCACCCTTCCTCCTCACAATCTCCGATTCTAACTCCACACACCTCTCTTCAGCTCTCTTACTCCTGTTGTCAAATACACTAGGCCCACAAACTTCCAACTCATTTTCGCAAACAACCTCGTGCATATCTTTACATTCCACAACTTCCATATTTCTCTAATCTACTAGAAAAATTCTACTTTCAGAATCAAGCATGTCACAAAATAATCTCACCAGTTCCCGCTTACAAATACCTGAATTTAAAAATAAATAAATAAATCATCAAAACTTGTACCATTAAGAGATTCAAGAATAGAGGCAAAAATAAAACAAAAGCTTCATTCTTTCCAGAAAGAATTATTACCTCTGCACCTTTAAGAAACACAATTCAGAACTTTTTTCTTTAATATTTAAAAACAAAAAACAAAAAAAAACTGTGTTTTTGTTTCATTTCTTTTTCCGGGGAAACAAACAGAGAAGCTACCGAAAATGCATAGACCACTGTAACAAACAATAAAATGTAGACTTACTTACAAGTTACAGCAGAAATTTCAACTGCAGCGTCGAAATCTCGCGATTGGAGCAGAGAATCGTTTAGGGTTTACTGATCCTGAGACAGAGTCTGTGAGAGCGGAAGTGTTCCAAACACACCACACGATACCATCAACGTCAGGGGACCGAGATATAACTGTAACACCTGTGAGGTGGAGGCGCGAACTGCCCGCCACGTGTCGAATTAGTGAAACGATGCGTTTTAGTGGAGAGAGAAAAGTGAAACGCCGCACTTTTGGGAAATTTTCTACGGTGCTAGGCGCCGATGACTAGCCTCACTGACTCAGTTTCCATCACTTTTTCTCTCGAGAAACAAACGGAGAACAAGAAAGAATGAAACTTTTCCAACATCTCAGACAACCCATCCTTACTCACAGGAAAAGGCTAACTTCTTCAATTGGCGTTGGGCTTCTGAGAAATGTAGGGTCCAGAAGAGGCTTTTGCGCAAGCTCGGATGACTCGGAGCTTAAGGACTTGATGGAATACATGAATTCTCTGAAGAACTACGAGAAATCGGGCGTTCCCAAAGATGCGGGTACAGATTCGGAAGACGGGTTTGATCTGGGTCGGATGAGACGGCTGTTGGAGCTACTGGGTAATCCTCACTCTAGGTTCAAGGTTCGAAATATCATTGGTGTAACTCTCTCTTAATGCTTGTGCTCTGTTTGTTTAGTGAGAAAATTGCGAACAATGACACTGAAAGTAAAATGATTTTGTAGTTTAGTTGTTGAAAGTGTCTAGCTTGACTCTGGGTTCACTTGGGTTCATGGTATTTCATTAAACAAAACTCCTATTCTTGTTTTTGTTTTCGCTGTTTTTGATGTGGTTACTTTTTCTTCTCTTTAATTTTTTTATATGAACTTTTCTTCTCTTTATTTTGCTAAGTTTGAGAGCAAGTAAAATTAACTAGCATGACAGCAATTATAGGCCGTTCACATTGCCGGGACCAAGGGGAAAGGATCAACCGCTGCATTTCTCTCCAGCATTTTGAGGGCAGAGGGGCATTCTGTTGGTTGTTATACTAGGTGTGGCTCATTGGTTTATTGCAATATCTACGTTTTCGATTATGTTTTCAACTTCCTCTGATTTGAAGTATCCATTTGTTGAGAAGAGGCTTCATTTATGTCTATGCAGCCCGCATATTCAAACTATCAGGGAACGTATATCATTGGGAAGGTTTGGCGAACCAGTGTCAGCAAAGGCATTGCGTTCTCTTTTCCATAGGATTAAAAAGATTCTTGATCGAGCAATGGAAGTTGACAATGGGCGTACGAGTCATTTTGAGGTATCAACTTAAATATATCATTGTTGGTTGCTTTTTAATTAGATAATCATCACATAATAATTACAGAAAAATATTTCAATATGGTTGAGAAGCTTCATAGCTTTCAACAAATTATCATTTTCTCGTATTTTCAGTGAGAATTTATGTTTTGAAATATTGGGTTGGAGAGTGTATTTGAATTCACAAAATGATTTCTTTTTCCTTTCAACATTTTTCCATTGTCGGATTTGGGCATCTTGTATTATGTTGTAACGGATTGGAATTTGCTAGGTTCTCACTGCTATGGCATTCACACTATTTGCTCAAGAGAATGTTGGCATTGCGGTTATTGAGGTTATTCACTTTTCCTTTTGATATCTTTTTGCAGATAATTGCCCCTTTGTTTATGCCCCTTCAAATATTTTGTTTTTATTTCATGCAAATGAACAGGCTGGGTTAGGCGGTGCACGCGATGCAACTAATGTCATTTGTAGCTCTGGACTTGCCACATCGGTCATAACTACAATAGGTGAGGAACATTTGGCTGCACTTGGAGGTTCTTTGGAAAGCATTGCAACTGCGAAGTCCGGAATCATTAAACACGGTTGCCCAGTTAGGTGGTTCTGCCTTAGAGATTTCTTTTTCACAAATAAGCTAAAAGTTTTCCTGTATTGTCTTCCATTTTAACTACTCTTTCTCCTATTTCCTTCTACACATGTTGTGAACGTGAAAGTTTTCAGTTTGGTTATTCACTGGTCCGCCATAGGGATTCCTTTGGTAGATTTTTCAGAATCATAGTAGTTATAAGCTGCCTGGTTTCTCCTCTGTCTTCATTCTCATGTTCCAATCTCTGTTTACCAGTCATCAGAATTGCTGTTGCTGACTGCAGAATATATACTTCATTTTTACTCTACTGAGTGGTATAAATTTTCAGGTGGTTCTGGGTGGTCCCTTCCTTCCACATATTGAGCACATTCTTTGTGATAAAGCATTCTTGATGAGCTCCCCTGTAGTATTAGCATCAGATGCTGGAAATAGAAGTAAGATAAATGGCGTTAGCATGCTCAATGGTAGACCTTTCCAGTCTTGTGATATAGTGATACGAGTTGAAAGGGACTTCAAGCTGGTACGCATTTGAGGGATGATTTTAGGATCTTTTGGGTTTTTTATTTTCATATTCATAGAACTGTTTTATTGGTTACCATGCAATATTGGTTTGTTTTTTTTGAAATTTTGTAACAAACTTGTAATTGTGTTATTCCTTGCAGTTCATTGAGTTATTGGATGTCAAACTATACATGCTTGGAACTCACCAACTTCAGAATGCAGTAACTGCTACTTGTGCAGCACTATGTCTCCGCAACCTAGGTGAGAGGGTTACTTTTTCAGTTATCTTCTGCTGGGCTGTAATGTTGTAGATATATTAGAAACCAATAGTTTTTTCATTATCTTATACAGCTGGCTGTACCTTGTTTATGTTATTTAAGTTCAGCGTCACTTCTCAATTATTGTACATAACTGGTTGCCGTGTTCTTTAAATCTTCCCTCTAATGCTTCTATGGATACTTCAGGATGGAGAATTTCAGATGAATGCATTAGAACTGGTTTACAGCAGACACACTTGCTTGGAAGAAGTCAATTTCTAACGCCAAAAGAAGCTCAGGCAATAGGACTATCTGGCGCAACAATATTGCTTGATGGAGGTATGTTTTTCTTTATTCTTGGTTTCCCTCCACACTGAATAGATTTAGATGAGGCTATCATTTGCCCTGGTGACTTGGAATATACAAATTATTGCTTAGAATATTTACAGTTCCGTTTTCAGATATCGTGTTAATTACTGCCAATGTAGAACTACAGTGCTAATACTTTCCAAGACTGTTTTTCAGCCCACACCAAAGAATCTGCTAGAGCATTGATGGAGACTATAAAGATGACATTTCCAGGGGCAGCATTGACTCTTGTGGTTGCAATGGCTAGCGACAAAGATCATCTTGGTTTTGCAAGAGAGTGCCTTTCAGGTAAAGCCAGTACTCAATTGCTATGATTATTATATTTTCAATACTTCCTGGTTGTAATGTTCAATGCTGGGGAGTCAGAAAGATGACAACATGTACCTTCATGATAGAGACTTTGATCACTTCTTTTCAGGTGGGCATGTCGATGGTGTCGTTTTGACGGAAGCTAGCATTGCTGGGTCAAAATCTCGGACAACTGCAGCCTCATTGTTAAGGTATTGCTGGATCCAAGCTTCCAAGGAACTGGGAATAGATGTTCTCCACGACGAAATGTCAGAGCATCAAGATTTGTCTGTGGATCAGTTAATTTGCTTAAGCAAGTTGGGAAATAAACCCATATTTTCCGCGGAGGCTTCATTTCAGGCTTCCCTGAATACAGCAAATCAGATTCTCAGAGGAAGAACTGGGGATCGTTTAGGAATTGTTGTAATTACTGGTTCCTTACATGTAGTTTCATTGGTATTAGCTACCCTCCATCACCATGGTTAAATTTTTTGTCTTCTTTTCTTTCTTAAGAATCCATTCATTCCTTGTCAAGTTTTTGTATTATCAACTTGTACAGTAGAATTTGAGTTATGTAATTGAGTAGTAGGAGCACACCAGATGTTACGATGTCAATACCTTGCAGGGTGTTTCTCTGTGTGACTCTCTGCGTGTGTGGCTGACGGAGATGCCAATTTCTTTTGGGCCAATGCATAGGTTTCTAATTTCTTTTTTGGGCCATAACTGAGCGTGCTATTTCCTTTTTGGGCCCAATATGTTATATATATAACTTAGTTGGGTTGGGTTGGCTAGTTTGGTTTATTAGGGATTTTTTGGGAAAGGCGAAGCCCAATACCAATTCCTCGGTCTCCCCTCCCTCTCCCCATCCCTCTATGAATCGGTTTGTTCATCATTTTGTATCTGCAAGAAGAGGATTCATTTCACATACTGAAGCAGGGTTGGAAAGATCGATCTAAGGTATGGCCAAATTCGTTTCCTTTTTTTCCTTTTTTTCCTTTTTTTCCGTTTTTGCTCTCTCTCTCTCTCTCTCTTGTGTTTATGTTCTCATCTGAAGAGGTCAATCTTCTCACTCCATTAACTCTCAAGGTTTGGAATATTCAGAAATGTTTTTTTCTTTATGGCTGGTGCCTTTTGGCACTAGTCTTTGTATTGCTTCCTCTTTGGTTATCAATGAAAGCATTTTCGGCCAAAATAAGTCTGTTTTACTGTTTGTGTTTTCTCTTTATCTCTTTATAGTCGCCCTTAAGGATATATATATTTTTTCCAACAATACAATACTCAAGGGAAATAATCGAGAAATTCAATAATAAAGTAAGGACTTGGCTCCTCGAGGCAGCTCATGGTGGTATATCCCTGTTTCACAAAACTGCAATTGATGACATACTTTTAAAAAAAAATTAAAAAAATTTATTTCCCTGTTTATGCGGGTCAGTAGTTTCAATTTTTGTTTGTAAGGCTTCCATCTGAAGAAAATTAAAAGTAAAAAAATGGTGCAAAGCCCATTTGGTATGTAATTTGGCAGCTTCATCTACAAATTCTTGGCTCACTCTTAATCGAAGTTAGTATTATATTGTTTTGTATGTCCTTTTATTTATTTGCAGGTACTTGAGAGAAGTTTCATCTGGGATATTTTCTCTTTCTTAATGCTCTGTTGTGCATAAAAAAGAGAAAGAAAAGAAAGATCCAGCAAGAATGAAGGACACTGTAGCCAAGGAGATTCTCGTTAGCTTTATCTAGGAAGAGATTTCCTGTGTTACTTAAATTTGGTCTAATCGATTGTTTTGACTTCCAAATTGATGAATTTTATTACATTCTTCAGTTGTAATTCGTTTTCATTTCTTTAGCAATATGTATTCTTTTCTTCTTTAGCAAATGTCTCGAAAAACCTGTTATGTATCTAGTGTTTTACTGTTGATTGGCTTAATTTCCACTTGACAGGTACTTTTTTAAAGAGCTTTATAGAGGTGTGTGAGATGGATACATCACAGAATGCAACCGATGGGAGTGGTGGAAACGGGGTTTTGGTCCCTCAAGCCAATGATACAGCTGGAGCAACAACGGTGGATGATCCAAAGCAAAACCTGAACGAGGTCATTAACTCTATTCAGAAAACTTTAGGGCTCATTCACCAGCTCTACCTCACTGTCTCTTCGTTCAATGACGCCTCTCAGCTCCCCCTCCTCCAACGCCTGTAACTTTCTCAGTCTGAGCTTCTTCAATGATTATTCAGACCTTATGTTCTCAATATTTTTATTGTTGCTTGGAGACTTTCTCACATTAGGTTTGACCTCTCAGAAATGCTCTTGTTATCGAGCTTGACAACATGGCTAAGTTGTCCGAAAAATGCAATATCCAGGTTCCTATGGAAGTTTTTAAGTGAGGCTTCTTCTCTAATTTGCTTTCTAACAACTGAAGGTTCCTCATTTATGGAGGATTTCTGACTACCTTTGACTTATTAATTTTGTGTAGTTTGATTGACGATGGGAAGAATCCTGATGAATTTACAAGGGATGTCATAAACAGTTGCATTGCCAAAAATCAGATCACTAAAGGCAAAACTGATACCTTCAAGGTAGCTTTTACAGTGTGCAAATAATTGTTTCGTTCCATTTTGATGTTTCAAGTTTGTCCTTATTCCACATTCTACTCATGTTTTGTTTAGAGTTTACGCAAACATCTTCTGGAAGAACTTGAACAGACATTTCCTGATGAAGTTGAATCTTACCGAGAAATACGTGCTGCATCTGCTGCTGTAAGTTACCTTACATTGGCCCACTAGCATGTTGTACAAGGATTTTATAAACCTTATTTGCCTCGATCATAAAGTCTTCGGGTGGACCCTTTCACCCTTTATGCATTTCTTGCTTTTGGTCATCTATCCATATTACACAACCTTCCTCTGAAGGTTTCTGCTATTGATGTGTTGACTGACTCTGCGCCCAGCAGAAGTCAGCTTGTTTGCATTTAGTCTCAATATTTCATTCTAGTTATTCTCGGTATTTGTGTGTGGTTGATTATGATTCTTGTAGGAGTTTAAGCTGTTTACTTACGATACAGGAAACCAAAAGGCTTGCACAAGCACAGAGCATATTACAGAATGGTGATGTGAAGGTCAAACCCGAGCCTTAAGTGTCATTTGTTTACGTATCAGGTTCTTAGAGTCCACGTGTTACCAAATACCGTTCTTGTAATCTGATCTTCAAAAGCTTCAATCCCATTGTCAAATATGAGCCACTTTTAAGCAAATATGTGTAAATTTGATTTTTGATTTTGCACAAACTTCTTTATCTTATTCAAGCAACTTGGTCACCAATCACCCAATTTGAATTCAAATTTCAATCCTGTAGTTGCAAAATCATATTCTGTGGTTGCTGTGGCGTCCCTGACAAAGCTTGAATATTTTTCTGCCAAATTTCTCACAGGAATTATTGCCATTACTATTTTGCAGTTTCAGATAGGCTACTGTTTTAACAAAAACAAAAAAACATAGACTTTCTTCAAGAAATTATCTTAAATATACAGATATTCGAATATTATAGATCGTATAGCATACACTTTCATTCGCTATATTCGAATATTTTAATAGTATAGCCGAGCGGCTATACGCGTTCAATATATTTGAATATTTTAATAGTATCGCTGCGCGGCTATACGCTTTCAATAAATATATTCGAATATTTTAATATATTCGAACATTTTAATAGTATAGCCGCACGGCTATACGGTTTAAATATATGCGAATATTTTAATAGTATAGCCGGGCGGCTGTACTCTTCAATAAATATATGCGTATATTTTAATAGTATAGCCGGGCGGCGATACGCTTTCAATAAATATATTCGAGTATTTTAATAGTATAGCCGCGTGGCAATACCATTACAATAAATATATTCGAATATTTTAATAGTATAGCCGGTCGGCTTGGGAAGTGTCTCAGAAGCGTAAGATCTGTTTTGGAAGAGAGGCTGAGATTGCTCTCTGCACTTGCAGCGGAAGATTTGGGTGGCGTTGAATGCCATTGACTAGGGTTTTGCATGAACAAAAAGAAGACAATCGCAGCGCACTCTGAGCAGTTCGAATTAATCGAGCCAATTAGGGTTGAGAATCAAAATTTGTTAATGCATGCTGTCGTTGCTCTTTGTGTCTTAATTTAAAAACAATTTACATACGAATTTGAAAGCACAATCTCCACCCTCAACCACTAATCTCTCTTAGGTTAAGAGTCACATCACAGGCTCATTGGAGATTAGTATAAGAAAAAGGAAAACTTAATGAGTTGCATTAGGTTAAGACGCACAGGCTCATCTGGTTCTAAATTGTAAAATAATGTTAATTTAATTAATAAGGAAGGAGGACACTCAGACACTCAGACACTCAGACTCTGATCATCTCATGCTTTTTTGTGTTTGAGACATTCTCGTAGAACAATTTGGAGTTTGGACCTAAAGCCCTTAAAATCAACAACAACCTGTACATCTCACTGGTCCCCATCAGCAGCAGCCCAATAATATTATACAAATTAATTAAAGTAAAGCTGTTTCAAATTCTTGTTTTCAACAGAGCCAAGCCAACAATGGCAATGAATTCAAGGCTCACTGCAAGAAGAAACAGTCTCCAAATCACATGCATCCACCTTTAATTAATTATCTCATATGTCCTCGTGTAATTAAGAACCACTTACAACTTTGTAGCTCTGTCTGTGTTCTACTGTGTGTCCTGATATAGCAGCACCTTGGTTTTAAATTAGTTTGTCCCAAATCATTAATACTTTTCATCCAAAACATAAACAGCATTTTTATATCCAAATATGAAAACCCAATCGCAAAAGGCAGAGAGATGATGATTATCAATTTATGAGGATGGTTAATATAATGTCTGTATGATCAAAGAGACAAAGATGAGCACTGAATTAAATAGTTGAGACAGAGATCAGTTGGGGGAAGGGGGAGGGAGGTGCACCCAACGGTAATGGGGCAGGCAGAGGGATGGAGACATGACAGTCCAAAACAAAATACGAGACACATAAATATTATATGTACAAAATCTAATATTAATATTTTTCATATATATGCAATGAAAAGATTGAAGATCATTTTGGGTCCCAATTGTAATATATGTATCATATGACATATCCATCTCCCAAACATGACCCACAATAATTCCCAACAACTCCCGGATATCTCGACCCTTACCGGCGTGGAAGAAGACGGGAAAAAGGGGGGGTGGGGGAGGACAATATTTGAGAGATCTTCATAAAAAAAAATCAGCGAGAAAACGAAAGAAACAAAAAAAATGAATGAATGATGGATTAATTAATATATATAATACAATAAGGGTGGGCTGTGGGGGGAGGAGCAGTAATGTTTGTCTCACAGAAAGCGTGGGTGGTGTAATGGCTAATGGGGGTATTCAATGAGTTTTGCAGAGTTTTTGAAGTGAAGGGAGTTTGAAGAAGGAGAAGGAGAGAGAGAGGGTCCCATGCATATTAATAATTCTTGCAATGCAAATTTTTGTTTTAAAATTTTGTCTCCGGCCCACACAATGACATTCTCATTTATTTCTGCAGAGAGAGGGTTATAAATGATGAACAGTAAGTATGTTCCAACTCATTCATTCATTAACTTACAAAAAGATCCCATGTCTACAAATACAAATTTTAATTGAAAGATGCGGCATGCAATGCAATGCCAATGTCAATGTCAATGTCAATGCCAATGCCAATGCCAATGAAATGCAGAGCTTATCTAGATCTGGGTAAATCTAACATACCCAGCCGCTATATGTCTCTCACCCTATAATACATTGCTATGCTAGCAAAGAAATGTGCAAGTGTACCACTTTCATGCATGCCTGTGTCTTTCTTTTACCAAAATAGAGGCCCACTAAAACAAAAGTTAAATAACTTGTTTGCTTGAAAACATTTTAACTATAGCTTCAACTTGGCTTCGCTCACTCATAATCATATTATATCACGTACGCATCTTATTGTATTAATATTATACTCTAAAATATATAACCAATGTATTAAAGTGTTTTGACAGCCAAGATATATATAGGGATGCAGCCTTATTTGTACGTAGGAGGAGTAGTGCGGTTCCAAGTAATAGGGTCGTACAGGCATGCATGCAGATGCAGTCTTGTACAGACACCATTAGAGTAGTGGGTGAAGTCTCCAGTGCTTGATTTAATAATAACTAGCTACCTAGCATGCAGTTTGATTCCATACATATTATATCATTATAAAGATATGATTCCATTCCATGGATGAGAATGTAAAATGATTATATATATAATAAGATAGAGAAGATCCAGCTCCTAGAAGAAGATATATAGATGCGTTAAACTTGATTTGAAATCGAAACAGTACAGTTCATATAACAGAGAGAGAGACACACAGAGAGAGAGAGAGAGAGAGGTTGGTGAAGGTGATCAATGTGAAAATTGATGGGTGATAAGCTAGAATTGGACTCATATGGAGGAGGGAAGTAAATGTGGAAATATATATATACTAAAAGTACAGACAGAAACACAACACCACTTTAAATGAAACCCGCGCACTCCCATGGCAGGCCCAAACTTGCAATTACTCCCCTTCGATCCTCTTTGTCCAGCCACCATGCATTCCAATTTGCAATTTGTTTCTACCATTTCCAAATTCAATTTATTTGTATTGTCCAGAGCCTTTGAGGTAGCACCAACCAAGCATATTATAATAATTGCTTGCGATAAAGAAAGCAGCACATCATGAATTATTAAACTTGTTTCAATATAAAAAGAATATCAAGCATTTGTCAATTATTATAGTTTGATTTTCCAAATACAAATGTGGTCAAATGCAATATCAAAATAATTCTTGTAATATTTAAATTTAATTACGGATTTTGACCTAATAAATAAATAAATGTTAAAAATCCCAATTAAAAATTTAAAACAATAATAAAAAGAAAACAAATAAAATCCTAATATTTTTTAAAGAGAGGAGTCGGACTAGCGTGTTCTATTTAGGAACGTGCTATTTAGTGAACCACTTTTCGGGCTCACTATATTAGACGGGCGAGTGAGGCCTTTTTTTCACTATTGGACTATATAGTCTCATTTAAGTTAGTCCCGTCTGTTACCAAACATGGGTTTCGAGTGCTATTTAGCCTAGTCCAGTCCAGTCCAATCCAGTGAAGCGTACCAAACATACCCAAACTCTTACCTTTAAGGCATGTTTGCCCATGCACTCTCAATTTTAACGATTACATACACTATGCTTCTCAATATGATTTCGGCATTAACTTCAACATCAAAATTTCGATTAAATGCTTGCGTGGCAAACATGAGTCTCACCTATTCACTTATTTCGATGTCACTTGAAGAGTATTTTCAAGTAATTGGTGTCTTCCAACTCATGAAGAACACATCACATGCATTAATACCGAACCATTTTTTAATAGAATACCCTTCAATTGACATTAAAAGAAGTGAATAGGTGGAACCCAAGCTTGTCACACAAGCATTTAACGGAAATTTTGATGATGAAGTTAACGCTAGAACCAAATTGCACAAAATTGAAAAATTTAGGGTATGTAATCGTTAAAATTGAGAGAGCAGGAGCATACGTGCCTTAAAAATAAGAGTTTCGGATACTAAATTGAAATGAACCCTTATATATATATATTGTACGTACTAACTGTTGGGTATGAACTTTTTCTCTATAAAAATATACTACTTTAATCAGCCATGTACGTAATCAATGTTAAATCATGAAGAGAAAAGGAGGGGATGATGGAGGAAAATATAAGTAGTGAGTGATAATGAGCAGCCTCTCTGACCACCAAACATTGAAGTACTAGTATTACCATAGATGTTTGCTTTTGTTATGGATCAAAGAGGAACATTCCTCCCGTCTAGTCTAGGCACTGCCTGCCTGAGCCTGCATATTTATATAAAAACCATGCCATTCAATTCATGTTTTCAAGGATAATTTCCCCTCACTTTTTAGAATTTTCCACTGCCACCTCTGAATATATATATTTATATGGTCATTCTTTTTCATCTAGCTCTACCATACCCTTTCTTCTATGTACGTAGGTGATCGGTAAAAAGGTATATACAATACAACGTTGACCAAAACCATAAATTACTGTTAGAGGACCCATATCCCCCGACCCAAGGCCAAGGTTGCCATGGTTAGGTTAGGAACAACCTTAATTCGTACATCTAAATATAATTGAGAAACCTAGCTATACCTAACAACAACCTTAATTAGTCCTCTACTAGTTAAAAATATCTTATTTTCTATTTTATTTGCGGAGTCTTAATATTATATGCCATCAATGTCTTTGTTGTAACCGAATTAATGATATACACCCAACGAATTAGTTTTGTCATCTTCCAATTTGTGGCAAAGTTCAGGATTGAAGAAAGAATATAGAATCCACCACGATATTTCCAATTTCTCTCTACAATTCTAATTTATATTTCCAAGTTCTGTGTGCTCACTGTAAGATCCCACGCAGACATAAATCTAACGGATAGATGAAAACCAAGAAAATTTAATATATAGGAAGAAGGACTCTCTCTCTCTCTCTCTCTCTCTCTCTCTCTCTCTCTCTCATGCACAGTGCACAGTGCACAGTGCTCACTAAGCTAGCAAAGCCAAAACCAAACATCATCAGAACAAAATAAATAAATAAATAGAGATGGATGATGGTGACGGTTTTTAGTCCCTTTCAGCAGACCCTCTCTTATTTACTTCTCCTTTTCGCAAACCTAGCTAGCTTCTTCTACATATTACTTCCATACTTTATACATGCTTTCTCTCATCTTTGACGCACTCTCTTTCGTTTCTCCCTCCCTTTCGTCTTTTTCCCCGACAACTAATTCCCTTGTTGCCTGGCTTGTAGCTACTTCCATTTCTTCTTTTGTTCTTCCTTTTTGGCTAATTAACCAAGAGGCATAAAGCAAATCTATGGCCATGGATGATCACGACCGTCCATCATCTGACTTTTTCCAAGAACACGAGCAGTGCTACTACAGCGACACCAATTGCAACTTAGCCACTCCAGGGGACGATCTTTTTAGCATATTGGAGAGCTTAGACGATGGATTTGGATTCGGAGGAGCCATGGAATTCCCTCCGCCGCCAGCCACGGTGGCATTGGATGATGAACAACCACCGCGACCGTTTGTTTTCAGCTCATCCTCAGCTGACCAGACCGATCTTGACGAAACCAATTCGCCCCCCAAAACCAAGAGATTGAAGTTCTCTGCATCACCTGCTTCGGGCGGCACCGCGACCACTTTCTCAGATGAAGATGGACAACAAACAAGGATGTCTCATATAACGGTGGAGCGCAACCGTAGAAAGCAAATGAACGACCACTTGTCTGTCCTGCGCTCTCTCATGCCTTGCTTCTATGTCAAACGAGTCAGTTTCTCTACCCATCCATCCATAATAATCTTATTAATTACATCAAATAATCTACATACACATATGTTTTTTTCTTTACATATATATTTTGTCCCTTCACTTTCAAACTTACAAGCAAAAGTAGAAACCCTCCACGTACACGGTACACACCATGGCTGGCTAGCTGCACTATTTTTTGTTTTTTCGTGTTTTTGTCTGCACTATTAAGCATTAACTAGCTATAGCTACTTAAACAGTACTAATTCAATATTATTTTATATAAAAAAGTGTATATATTTTTTGTGTACCTAATTTGGTTGTCTGCTTTTGGTTCAGGGAGATCAAGCATCAATAATTGGAGGGGTGGTTGATTACATCAATGAACTGCAGCAAGTTCTTCAATCGCTTGAGGCCAAGAAGCAGCGAAAAGCCTACAGTGAAGTGTTAAGCAGCCCTAGGCTGGCCTCAAGTCCAAGACCACCTGGTCCCTCACCACCAGTCCTTAGCCCTAGAAAACCCCCTCTCAGTCCTAGGCTCAGCTTGCCCCCTATCAGCCCAAGAACCCCTCAGCCAACCAGCCCTTACAAGCCCTCTTCTGCTAGGGCTCTGCAGCAACCACCACCACAATTACCTGCCTCTGCTAATATTATTAGTAATTATCTGATTTCTAGTCCAAACATGCCCACCTCATCGTCACTTGAATTACCATCTCCTTCTTCTTCAACTACTTCCTCCCATGTCAATAATAATAATAATATTGACAATCTCAATGAGCTATTCGCCAACTCCAAGTCCGCCGTCGCCCAAGTGGAGGTGAAATTTTCGGGTCCAAATGTTCTTCTGAAAACGGTGTCGCCTCCAATACCAGGACAGGCTCTCAGAATCATTTCTACTCTCGAAGAACTTTCGCTTGAAATTCTTGACGTCAGCATCACCACCGTTGACGAAACCATGATTAATGCCTTCACCATCAAGGTATTTCATTTCATTTGTACCTAACCTAATTATAAATTGTTAATTAATTTTACGTCCTATAGTTATGTGCTAGCTGAGGATATAGTGACGATATCTAAGAAATAGTACAAAAAATGTTAAATACATAAGGGTGATTTAGTTCAGAGGAAAAAGTACTGGTTTTGTCCTTTACATGAAGAATTGTGTATGGTTGCAGTAATTTCATTTCCAGTTGTAAAATTTTTAAAAAGAATGAGGTATGCATGTGTACTGACTTATTGATTTAAATGCTTGTCTATAAAATTGTTGAAAACAAGGATGGGTGGGTATCTTTCAGACATTGATTTTGTAGCTACCCAGTACAAATATATTAATTAGGATTTTGCTTTGATGAATCATGTGGGTGACTAAATTTGGAGCTGCTAATGATTGGGATGTTGTTTCTTGCTTTGTTGCTAGATTGGAATTGAATGCCAACTTAGTGCCGAGGAACTGGCTCACCAAATTCAGCAAACGTTCTGCTAATTGCATGCCCTATGTACCTAACAATCTCATCATATCTGCCAATTGGTATTTGGTATTTGGTATTTGGTATTTGGTGCTAATAATAAAACAGAATGTGGGAAAGGCATTTTTACCATATTCTTATTAACAAATATGTAATTCTAGGATCAGATCAGTAATAACTTGTTTTAGCTAGGGTAACCCTTTGTTTAATTCATTTTCTCTTAGTCTTAATTAATTTTCATGTATACATGCATACATGAATTTCAATTTCACTTTTTTTTTTCTTTTTCTTTTCATGCCTAAGGAAAAGCTACATATATATGTATATCATTGTGAGTTGTCCATTAATTTTGAAATTATGCTTAAACTTTAAGTACTAGTGCTATATATATCATGATTATTAGGAGAAGCTTGCTCTTGTTTTTTTTTTTTTTTTTTTCATTTAAACTTCCATTTTCGGGATCGACGAAATGACATGAAGGTGAAGATGCAAAACCTTTATGTATCCATATAAAGAAAGCATCTTAGCCTAAACTGGCATCGTTTTGCCTGCTGCTACGAAGCAAGCTCAATTATGTAAATGTAGGTATATAGCTCATGATTACCAAACTCAGCTGGACCAAACTCTACAAGTAGAGAATAGACATACAAGAGCGTTGCTCATCAATCAGGTGGGCCAATTTGGCTTCAAATTTCATTTGTAGCGACATGTTTGAGGCTGGGAAACATGTGCATGCCATGGACCACACTTGTTCAACACACCCAAATTTCATCTCATTTTCCCGGATAAAAAGTTCGAAACACCACCAATTTTACTTTTTCTTCTGGGTTTCTTTCTTGTCTATTTGCAAGGGAGTAGGAAAATGTAGGAAATGATAAATAATTTTTTCATAGAAAATAAAAAATAAAGTACAGGAATTCAATGGACTGGTGTGAACCGTATGGGCCATTTTCAGAGGTCCGCACAAGGTTGGTTTGTTTTTCAGACGTCTTGGGCCTGCCATATCTACTATGCATTGGGTCGTGCATACGAAAGAAAAGACGTCGTTTCCCGAAACGGCCTCTGCACGATTAGACATCCCATCGCGATTGGGCCTTGTTGTTCGGATGCGTAGAAGACATTTCTGATGGGCCCTTACGTAAAATTAAAACGCATCTTTGAATCTCTGATATGCGGCGGACTAATTAATAAGAAAAAAGAGAAATATTCAGTTTATTGATCTGAATAAAATTGGAAAACAAAAATATATATATATATATATCAGCTTTTTTGGGTCTCTTAATGGAAACATATCAATCAGACTACTTAGCAGATGTCACACACGCATTATACTCACAGTTACAAAGTTTAATTATGTTGGCTCTGGAAACGCTAATCTCTTTTGGGAAGGAAGCTAATAGCTATGAGGAAAGAAGCCTGGACCGTCAAATGAGAAGTTGGGGTATAAGTTTTGATCAGCCTGACCAAATGGGAAACCCAAAGCAGCAGCAGCAATAGGAGAGTTGGTTGCTGAAGTAGCAGATGACAGAATCTCTGGAATCTCACACTCAGCACCCTGAAAACTTTGGCCGCCTCCTCCAAAGCCCTGCTCTGAAACTGAGAGATACTGTGTTCCAGAAGTTGTAGGGCCCATAAATGGAGGAGAAAAATGCCCCACATAGTTGTGGTTCAATGGATTGTAGGGAAACAATTCCTGATCACCAGCGTCTAAGCCTTCAGTTACTACTGTAAGGCCTTGTGGGATGGTTAAGAGCAAGTCTTGTGGTTGCTGCTGATTTTGTTGAGGGTCCACTATGTCCATGCTATTCTGTGGAGGAGGAAGAGGAGGAGCACTGGTTGTGCTGGTGGAGGCTTGTGTACATGTGTGCCTTCCTCTGTAAGTAATTTCAAAGACTGTCGGGTCCTCATCGGAGCGTTGCACTTGCTTTGTGGCCAAACAGCATTGAGCATTCCGATGAGTGCATCTGTAATAGCCTCTGCCAAGATCAACAATCTAATGTTAATATGCAAGTTACGCATTGGTTGAGTTGACCAAGTCACAAAGGGGTTCTTTAATGAAAACGTTCTGCCTGGCCTACCTTGGATATTTGGCTCCAAGTATGTCCTTTTGGCCATATTTCCTCCAGCTGAAGCCATCATCAAGAGGCCCCTCAAGCCCCATACCTGATGTAACTCTTATTTGTTGTGTCCACCTTGGCAGAGTTTTCCTGCAACATTTATGAAAATTCAAAAATTAACCACCACAGAATTATCATCTCAATCAAGTACTGATAAACCAACAAAACATTATCATGACAAACTACCTCTTCCTAGAGGAATCTTTGTTGTCCTGGTCCTTGAATTCGCGATCCGAGTCTTCACTTCGGGGACTTCCATTGAGAGAAGTTGGGGGGGACTCAATCATTCGAATCGCAGCATGACCTGTGGGCAGTTGTTGCTCTCCCCCCGAGGCTGAGCTGCTAGAATTGAGCAAGGAAAGCGCCTTTTCGTACGAAACTATGATTTTTTGAACCAATGATTCCCGGGTTCCATGAGACGAAGACGGAACATTGAGATGGATCTGGAGTTGCCTAGCTAGCTCCCTGCCTTGTGCTAGCTCATTTATAAGACTCATTTTCTCCCCATGCATATTGCAGCTCTCCATTTGTTCATACACTATATATATGGACGCAAACAGTTTGTGATTAACTAGCAAGCAGCAAAGATCTGAAATCTAAATTGCCAAGGATATGCTAAATGAGGTTATGTGGAGAAGCATGAGAGATTGGAATATGAAGTTATATTGAGACCAACCAACAGAAAGCATGGAAATTTAGCCAAAACAAGAAACAGAGACACAAATTTCTAAGAAGGGTGTGCTTAGTTTTTGTGTGTTTGGATTAGTTAATGTAGTTAGCAAAGGAGCAAAGATGGAAACTTGATGAGGAAGGAGAGGGCAAGGAGAGGGAGAGATGGTTATGGGATTTTAAGGGAAGCTTTGTTTTTGAATCTAAGAAAAAATGAGGGAAAGAGAAAATAAGAGAAGTTTGACTGAGAAAATCTGAAAGGATACTTTCTTCATGGGAGACCAGTCTTTGGTCATAGAAAATGGAGTTTCAAAGGAATCATAGAGAGTAAGAGGTCCAATTGCTGACCATTTCAGCCTTGTGCTTCTCCTTCACATAAGCCAACAATGAACACCAATATCTCTCGCTTTTGCATTTGATTACTAGAAAAGGAAGAAAGTCAACGATTAAGCAAAAGAGGTGGGAGACCAAAGAATCTTCAAACTTAGCTCCGCGTTGTTACTAACTTAATTACTCCTACTCCTCCTACCAGCCCTACCCCTGAATCCCTGATCTGATGCCACTAAAAACGAGACAGATTTGATTTTACTGAGATGAAAAAAAGGCCATGACATACTGTTAACGTCAGCTTCAAAACTTTGCATACGTTAACGGTTCAAATTGGATTGGATCGAAGAGGAGACAAAGAATAGGGTGAGTCAGACCCAAAACCCAACAAAGGAAAATGATAATCTAGTAATTATTTCATTAAAACAGTCGGATTGTCACAGAACTGGGTACCGTATTTTGCGTGCCTTATTATTGGTGTGAACGGTCGGTCATGTGTTCCATTTCTTAATTTGTGTTTTATTAACATTAATAGAAAGCGAGCACAACATGGTTGAAACAAAACAAAGCGGTGCTAACTTCAGTGCTGCAGTCTCTCACGCGTTGATCAATCGTGTTGAAATTTGAAACATATGGTTAATTGAACATGTTCTTTCTATACTATTTGGGAACTTAATTACGATACATAACCTAGGTAGATTCAATTCAACCTAGGATACTTGAGTTTAAATAATAACGTAAAGCTTCCTTTTTATATTTAATAAATGACCAAGTAGATACTATTATATGGATTTTTTTTGTCGAATTTTGTTTTGTATGGTTTAGCTTCTCTCTTTTTCAATTTTACTCATAAGGAAGCAAATAGTGTTTCATATTGACTTGCTTGATTTGATTTGTATAATGCGTGGACTGTTTTATTTGATTTGAGGTGCCCCTTAATCTTATTCACGACGTCCTATTATGTGATTCTTCGAGTCAGGAGTCAATCGCTTTGCACTCCTAATTATAATTCTTCATTTTATCAATAAAGTTTCCCTCGCTCAGTCGGCAAATAGTGTTGCATATTGACTTGCTTGATTTGATTTGCATAATGCGTGGACTGTTTTATTTGATTTGAGGTGCCCCTTAATCTTATTCACGACGTCCTATTATGTGATTATTTGAGTCGGGAGTCAATCGCTTTGCACTCCTAATTATAATTCTTCATTTTATCAATAAAGTTTCCCTCGTTCAGTTGAGATTCTCTTAAATTGGAAGCTTAGGGCCCGTCTGGTAACGTTTTCGGAGAGTGTTTTCAGAGAATATTTTCAGAGAATGAAAACAAGAAAACAAATTTGCATTTTCAGGAAATGAAAATCCGTCTTGTAGATTAATTAGAAAACATCTTCAGAAAACAAAAACAATGAAAACGTGTCTGGTAGTACAATTGTTTTTCAGGTGTATTTTTTATAATTCTACTATTTTTAGAGGCTAAAATTATTATAAACAATAAAAAAAATTAAAGCTAAAAAACTATCTTATCTCCTTTCTTTTTTCTTTTCTTTTTTTCTTCAGAAAACATCTTCAGAAAACAAAAACAATGAAAACGTGTCTGGTAGTACAATTGTTTTTCAGGTGTATTTTTTATAATTCTAATATTTTTAGAGGCTAAAATTATTATAAACAATGAAAAAAATTAAAGCTAAAAAACTATCTTATCTCCTTTCTTTTTTCTTTTCTTTTTTTTCTTTTTTTTCTTCTTTTTCTCCTTTTCTCTCCTTCCTCCTCTTTTCTTCTTCTTTTCCTTCGCACGGCTGTTTCTCTTTTTCTTCATCTTTTCTTCTTTCTTCCTCATTTCTTCTTCCTTTCCTTCC